ATAAATGTAAAGTTCCCCTTAGGTTAGCATAGTTTTTGTATCATATGTAAAGTACACATAAGGTTAGCATAGTTTTTTGTATCATATGTAAAGTACACATAAGGTTAGCATAGTTTTTGTATCATATGTAAAGTACACATAAGGTTAGCATAGTTTTGTATCATATGTAAAGTACACATAAGGTCAGCATAGTTTTTTCTATCATAAGATGTACCACATTAATATTCCCATTAGAACATGCTTCACTAAGATGGAATATGTATTGATAGATGTTGATATATATCTTTTATTTGTGATTAACTGAAAAACATCATATCAAAGATATTATTCTATTCACAGATACCCTTTAAATATCTGTAACGAATTCCAAAAAAAAAAAGGAAATGTATACAGCGTTAGACTATAATTTTGCCTTGAATTACTTTTTTCTATGTGTGTATATTGTAGAGTTCACATAATAACAGAAAATAAAAAACCTACTAAATTTAACGTTTCAACTTAGTGGAGCGATTGTTGTTTTTGATGTATAAATCTACAACAGAAATATCTTTGTGACTTTTATTAACACTGTTAAATATTCCTTACAGTATTAGATTTCTTAATGTAATCACTTGTTTTCTTTCCTTTTTTTTATCAAAACCCGAATACCCTTTGTTTAGTTTAGAGGACATAAACTTGAATATTTAAAATTTCCAAAGCCTGCATTTGTTAACGTTGTATGAACATTTCAAACTATGTAAAATAAATGGTTTTGTATAGTGATTATAAAAAAGTTAAATATTTTAGTACATAAGCCGAGGTTAACAGCCATTAAACTATTTAAATAGAAAAAATTAAAGCTCTTTAAAGTCTAAAATCATCCAGTATCCATATTAGTTTAACCTGAATAGAAAACCTGAATTTGTATTTATTTTACAGAAAGTACATTAATTCTTTACTAGACAAACTTAAATCGCTGATAATTATTCGTGGATTTTTCATTTATATTTTCTCTAGATGTAAGAATCATATTAATCTTTATTTGGATAAAAAGAATGTTTGATTTCGTCTGATAAAATTGTGATACCTAACTTGTGCACACCTTAATTAACACAAAGTTTTAATTGATCACACATTCTACTGAAAGGTAGTCCGCTATTAGGGATTTTAGAAAATTTGCCTCTCTCCGAAATGATTACTGTTCAAAAAAACAAAACAATTATGGTAACAACCTCCCTCCCTCCCCCTCCCCCAGTAGGACAGCGCGAGGGTTTTAGGTACCTAACTTGTTATGCTTGTGTGGGTGGGGTGGCAAAATATCTGACTATTTTAAGTAAAACGAACACTAATTTCGTCTCAAAAGTATGCAGGATATTTTAAAACTTTAATGCCACTTTTGTAGTTATGGGTAACAGGGTCAGTACTACAATGGGTTTATAATTATATAGAAAAATCTTTATTCGTTATCTAAGCCAACTATATATAACATTTATTTCATTGCTATACGATAGTAAAATTGAGGATAACAATTGAGAATTAATTTTAGAGAACGCAACGAGCTTCCGCCCAATTTTCACCATTAGTTCGAAGCTTCGTTTCCGAAATACAACAGAATAGGAAAGTCATTTCATAAATGGCTTGGGGGAGGACAAAAAATACTGTAATTTCAACACAAGGAAGATGCCACGGCAGGAAAGGCTGCTACCCAGAAAGGTTGTTGGAACTGTGGAGAGCAAGGACATGTGAGGAGCCAGTGTAAGAAGAATACTACCAATAAGTCAGCTTCGAGAAACCAGTAGTGGTTAGTGTTGAGGGACCCCCATCGTGAAAGTCCTAACAGCTAAGTGTAAAATGGCAAACACACACAGTGTCTACATGACAGGAAAGCTGGATGGCCAAAGG